CTAACCACTTAGCTCTTCCTGAACTTCTAGTTTAGACATAAAAGGAAATAAAATTCTGCCTGTAATGGCAGATTGAAAAATACCATACTAAGGGTGTTTAATGAAAAATACTAAAATAAAGAATATTCAAAATAAAGGCTAGTAATGGCTCCCCTTTCTGTTTATGGATTTATTTTGTACATAAGAAGACTTGTTTTAAATGATGTTTGTAGTGAGATTTCTTGAAGTGTTTTTCTTATATGAATGGTGTGTGACTGTCTCTCTCCCCTTCATGAGCATTGCATGTCTCCCTCTCTGATCTTTAGTGACCTCTCTTCTGGGCTTGAAAAACATATATTTAAAAGAATAAGTTCCTTGAATGTTTTCTTTCTGGATTTCCATAACACGGATAATAATGTTGTGATCTCAAATTATCTGAGCTGACATATCTGCTTTTTCCCTACCGCCCCCCCCTCCCCCCCAAAAAAATTTGGCCTGTTTTTGCATATTTTTGTTGCTGTTGGTAGAAGCAGGTAAGTGTAATTAGTGTAGCAGTTAGTGAATTCTTGTGTGAGGAAAGGAGAAGGAAAAATAACTGAGGAACTCTAAATGAACACAGAATATGTGATGTCTCGCTCAATTCCTGTTCAGTGTTTATCACTTCACTATCAGAAAGGTGAGAGACTTAAAGGGCCTTGATTTCACTGCTGCATTATTCCATTTTTCATCAATGAAATTAAAAAATTGCACTAGCAAAACCCTGAAGTATTGCCAGTAGCAAACTGAAACCTTTCTGCTATCTACAGGAAAAAAAACACTCCACACCTAACTCCAAACACTTCTAGGTCATTCACACAAAATTTTTTCCTAGTGCCTCTACTTGCGGAATATTTTCAATAGCAGGAAGAGACTAAAAATTCCTTTACCATGGGAAATGATTAATTTTCCCTCTCAAGAATTGCAACCTTGACATGTTGGAGAGGCTTGTGCACTACCAGGACTCATGAGATTAATGCCGATTGGAGTCTTGTACTTCCAGTAGGGTTGCCCATGGCAGCAAGGCTGAGTGAGTTTTCACACACACAGTTTTTAATAAATAAATACATTTCTAAAGATTTTCAGTAGTGGAGCAAGCTAATGAAGGAGGGTATTCTTCACAGTGGCTGCAAAGTTGGATGCAAAGGATGCAGCAGAATCAAAACTTTTTTGGTCATCTAGGGTGCCTATACACATGCTCCAACACATTTTAGTTAGAATACATTGGATCAGATCGAGTCTGCTGAAGCATTCCAGTTAGAACATTCCAGCATGCCTCACCATCACATGTATTCAGCGTCCTGTATTTGGACAGGACAAAATGGTGGTGGGGGGGGTGCTTCAACTAAAACTCGTTGAATGAGCTTTAGTTAAAGTGCCCCTGTGGCCAATTTGAAATGTGGGATGCTGAATACACTTGATGCTGTGGCATTTTACTTAGAGTGACTGTCTGGGAGCTGCTCTAATTAAAATGCCCCTTCCCCCACCTTGGAGCTTGTGTATAGACACCCCTAGTTTTTCCTTGCCATTGGATTAAGGTTTCCTTCTTATGAAATGTCATGTGGTTGCTCATGTGCAATGGCACCTTACATTAAAATAAGATACACTCAGTCATCAGGCATTAAAATAAGACATACTTGCATCATAGCAAGTCCTGTGGCAAGTCCTATGGGGTAGTGGCGACAGGGGCAGGTACTAGTGATTACCAGAAGTTCCTAGTCATGGACCTACACAGAGGCAATAATTATATGGTAGTCATTTTGTACTCAGAACAGAGCTGCTTGGTTGCTTCTGTGAAGCCTATGAAATGTTTGTACTTACAGTCAAGTTCACTAAAGTCAAGGCACTTTACCAACCCACCTCAAACCAACCAGCTGCTCCTCCACATATGACAATTAGAAGACAGTCCATAGAGAATATTAAGCATTGACCCTGCCTGGGTAAGCCACCTTTCCCAAAAAGTAAACATAGAGGATGGTATTTAACACTGGATAGAATCTGTCTGTGCTGCCTTTGGACGTCTCTGAAATCATATATTGGATGGTCATCACTTCAGGACCCAAACCAATCTTCTTGTCTACCAGGCTGTTGCCGTCTCCACCCTGCTGTATGGATTTGAAACTTGGACAACACATCAGAAACACCTGAAAACCTTGGAATGTTACCATCAGTAATGTCTTTTGAAAATCCTTTATCATTTGGAGGGACAGAAGAATGAACACCAGCCTTCTGTAAACATCACCAGCTTCAAAACCATGTTTATATGCACCAGCTCTGTTGGATAGCATAAGGATGCCTGACAACTAGCTCATGAAACAAGTCCTGTACTCCCAGTTCACTGATGGTCACTGCTCTAGAAGTGGATGAAAGAAGAGATTCAAGGACATACTGACAGCCAGTCTGAAGAAATGCAATATTAACATCAATACCTGGGCAGTTCATGCACTGAATTGTCCCCAATGGCACTGTGATGTCTGACAAGGTATAGATCATGTCAGGTAAACTCATTTCACTATGGAGGCAGTAGACATGAGAGACAAAGGGAAAGAACTGTGACCTGACATCACCAAGATACACTTCTGTCTCCTGGAACTATCTGCCACGTCTGCAGTCAGACATGAGGATCATGAATTGTCATCTCCAGACACACTGATGACTTCCCTATTTACTGGAAGACTTTCATCTTTGTATTGAGGGACTGCCACCACCAACAGTTATTTTTCCCACTTCAATAAACTTGCCTATTCAAGTAAATATGTGCAGAAAACAGTATGGGTTATATGTCAAATGTACAGCAACATACCCAACTCCTTTTAAAAATCTTCACAAGCCCTAGTGAAGGTGCTACACCAGTGGAAATGGAGAGGGGACATGTGTCAGTGAGACTTTCTCCATTTTCAAACGTCATTGTAAAAATGCACAATTTGGGTAACCTGTGATGTAGAAGAAATAAGGCAGCAGATTGGCAAGAGCAGGAATTAAACAAAGATGCAGTTTAAGATGATCTTTTAGTAGGTTATAGCAAACATGAAATAGCTATTTAAAAATTAGTATGCTATGCAGCTTCTGCAAAAATGTCCATTTATTTTTATTCATAATCATTTCCTTGGTTATTGTAGCTTTAAAGTGATACTGTAGCCATGATGGTCTGGAAATTATGCCAGAGAGAAAAGCCATACAGTCCCTAAGATCTAACAAAAACTAGTAATCCAAACCAGCAGACAAAGGTGGATCTGTAACACCAGAATTCACTTTGGAACTGGAAAACATCATCAATCTCTTGCATTTCCTTAGTTATGTCATTTGTGGCTCTGTCATTTTCAAAGTAATAAAGACAGGGAAGAGGTGACTTGTCTGTGAATGATCTTGAAAACAGAGCAGTGTTACTACCAAAAAAAAGCAAAAACTAACAAAAAAAAAATGGAGGGGGGATTATGGTATCTTTACTGGATTACGTATGTGCATTCCTCCTGAAATGCTGCATGCAGAGCAGAATGCAGGAGCCAGAATAATTCAGCTATGTGATGTACTGGACTGGCAAGTTTTTCATTTCTTTTGCTGTTTTGTGACATTACAAGGAACTAACCAGATTTCATTTAAGCTCCAACATGCGTAGTGTGTTGAACACTCAATACACCTAAGATTTTTGAAAACATGTCATCAGATTCCCCTTATGGGCAATAAAAGATAATTGCTCAGGCTCCCATTTTGACTCTTCTCAATTTCAGATATGATTTGCCTAGGAACATGCCTTGAATTCTACCTCCCAATACCCCCATGGCTCTCAATCCGTGTGAAAATTAAGATGCATCAGTTTTAAAATGTGAACTCAGTGCATGTATATTCAAGTATGTTAAACTTTGTCTTAAATCCTGACCCTCCCATTAAATGCTAAGACTCAGGGATCTAAAGTTACTTTACTCCTGAAGGAGAACATCTCTAGGGGGTTATAACAAGCTTTATTTATCTTGTGCCCATTGACTTAACACCTTTAGTTGATTTACCTTGTCTTTTCAGTGTTTCCCTTAATTATGTCCTGTAGTTCCCTGTTTACACATAACCTAAGAATGTCATGGCTAATTTTGCAAAACACAACTTTTTAATTTTTGCAAAATGCCTTTTTTTCTATTGAGTCATTGAATACTTATAGACTAACTTATGTGATAGTTGGACACAATCTACCTATGGTTATGCAGGCTCTAATTTTAAATTTAGCCTGTTATATTCAGCATCCAGACTTGCATTTGGATCTTCAGTTTGAAATGTATCTAAATACCTATTTGAACACCTTAATTCAGGATATGGATAACTGACTTTGTTTAAAAAGTTAACTCATGGCATGCACATGTATATCTCTGTGTGTATACATTTGTTTAATATTGTGTTAAATATGCATATGCATCCTTGGTATGGACCCAGTAATATATATTGGTATCTAATGTATTTAGCTTACATTAACAATCTGCTTAAGTATAGGCAATACCTTTCCTATTACTACAGGAAAGGACAATTAATATTTGTTCACTGTTCTAACTATTTAGTTTGGAGATGGGATAGTTGATAGAAATAGTAATTAAAGACCAGAAAAAGCCCTCAGTCATGCTACTTAACTTATTAGCTGAGCCATGCAGTTTTGCTTTTGGTCACCCCAAGATAGAATTGAAGCTCATAAAAATGAGGGGAACAAAATTGATCTTTCTTTTTGAAACATCACAAACCACAAGGATTTGTTTTTGTGTAATGGCTTCTGTGTTCACGATACGTTCATCTTGTCAGTATGTATTCAAGACCACCAACTTCATTTTATTTCAATCCATCTTTTAAGTTATGGTAACACAAGATGACTGGATGTGTTTTGGCAGGGGGAAAACTAATCTAATCCATGTACCACCATATGAAAGTAATTTACTAGGGGTTTGCGGAAGAGCTCAAATTTTCAATGTAACCCACAATGACATTTTTTCCCTCTCTTTATATCTAAACAGATCCAGCAATGGGAGCAGAACCTGGAGAAATTTAACATGGATCTCTTCAGAATGCGCTGCTACCTGGCCAGTCTGCAAGGAGGGGAGCTACCAAACCCAAAGAGTCTTCTGGCTGCTGCCAGCCGTCGCTCGAAACTGGCACTAGGGCGGCTGGGTATCTTCTCTGTCTCATCCTTCCATGCATTGGTGAGCCTAAATGCATTTTACATGGCTACCACATAAAGGGATCTTCAGCTTATCATTGGTGACCTATTTGTCTGAAGAGTATAGACAGCATAATTTACTCTTACCCATGTATGTACCCTGACTCGGAAACCCACTACTTGACAAAGAAACTGGCCTGTTCCTTGGCTGCAGATAATTTTCTTGCCCAGAGGCAGACCCTGGGACCCAGGAAGTCTCTGGCTATGCTGTTTCTTCTGCTGTAAATGTGATGACTCCAGAAATGCCTAGGCTCATTTCAGCTGTCATCTGAAAAACAATCAAGATTCTAGCCCTCTATTTGCAGAGAGAGACTTCAAAATTGTTAGCTGAAGGTTTGCCACTGTGATTTTTCTTTTTAACCCTAAAATTCACAGGTCACCTTATATTGTACCTAAATGACTTAAAGTGGGGTGTGAGCTGAAGCCAGTATTTCCAAATCTGACTCCGGTGTTTGGTCCCCCAGTGCTGATCTGCTGACCTTAAGATGGCTTAAAAAGACCTAAAAAAGTGCTGAGCACTTGCTATTGGTGGTGCCTCACCACAAACAGGGAGCTATCTAAAATCACATCACTTTTCAAAGTTGTTGCCTGGGTCTTTAAAGAAGAATGAGATGGATCCACACCTCTGTTGGTGTGAATTGTCATTACCCTGTTGACTTCCATGGAGCTATGACAGCTCACCCTGGCTGAAGGTTGGCCCCAGTCTTTTGAACTCTTTTAAAAAAAATCCTAAGGCTGATCTCAGCAGGTAGGAGTTAGATCATGCTTGTTGTGTTTATGTAATGGGAAGGAATTTTGAAGGTCCAATCTAGGGGCATAATTATCTCTCTTGGTATCCAGGTGGTTTGCAATATTACAACATGCTGGTATGTTTGAGACTTATGAGTTTTTGTCCTTGAAATTTCACATCAAAATCACTGCTTTTCTTTCTTTTCCATATTCTTTGCAGTAACTTTAACAACTGCTCAGCTGTGGCTCATCACAGTCATATAGACACATCTGAACTAGCTCTGGAACACACATAGTTTTGTTAGCACATGGCTCCACCTGTGATAGTTCTCAGAAGTAGTAATTGGTTTAGGTGGAGCACTGTATTAACATGGCTATGTTGGTTTTAGAACCTGAGCTGATATCTTTGCATCGTATTGTACTAGTATCTGGAGACATAATGCATCCCAAGCTAAAACAAGTGTCTCCTTATGGCATTATATAGTCACTCCCTTATGATAGATTATTAGGGAGAAGTATATTGTATCACTGTCTTCCCTACCTGAACATAAAATAGATGACAACAAAGAAATATCTGCTAATACCAAAAGGAATAGTAGTAGTGCAGAAGATTTGATACCCTGATGCTTCATATTGATCCCGTGGTTCCTTTGTGGTTACCTTTGTTGTTTTTTGAATACCTGTATATGTGTTGAACTAGATCTGCTCCCGGGATGAGGCTGCTCTCAGGAAACGGACCCTATCTCTGTCACAGAGAGTACGAAGCAAGAAGGGCTTGTTTTCGTCACTCAAAGGGCTAGACACATTGGCAAGAAAGGGAAGAGAGAAACGGCCTTCAATAAACCAGGTAAATGCCAGATGTTGGGATCCAGGTATGTTTAAAAGCATCAACGTTGCTGATGCTATCATCTTCGTCATTGCCACATTCTGCAAGGCGCTGTACAAAGGTAGAGTAGCAGACTGTTCCTGCCCCAAGGAATTTGTAGTCTATATGGATTAGACAGCTTAGGGTGGGGAAGGGAACTGTTTTGTAAATAACGTTGTGGTAATTTCAGATTGCCAGGTGTAAGTTGTGGAATTGGCAAAATTTTGGCCCACTGGCTACCAGCGCATCGTCAGTGCAGAACCAAAGGATTCACTTCTGGGTCTGAATTGCTTTCAAGCAAGCACAGACTCTTTGGAGCATGGCCTTTCCCTTTGCTTTCTGTCCAGATAACACCTAGCGCAGCCCCAGTCCGTCACTGGAGCTCCTAGGTACTGTGGTGATACAAACAAGTAATAGCGAATACTACTTGGTCTCCAGGGAGAAACGGAGATTTGGAGTGACCTCATAGGGTGTTTTTAAATGCTCTGTTGGGAGGGCGCTTTAATTAGAATGGCTCCAAGGGCCACTCTCATGAAAGTGCCACAGCATTTCGTGTATCTGTGTCCCCGCAATTCAAAATGGCAGCAGGGTTGCTTAACTAAAGCGTGTCAAATGAGCTTTAGTTAAAGTGCTCCAACCACCATTTTGAAGCACGGGGACACTGATGCACAAGATCTGGATGCTGGCTGCAGCGTGCTAATTAGCATGCTCCCATAGTCTTGATTAATCAAGTTTGCTCCAATGCACTGTAATTACAGCGTATCAGATTAGCCTCCCTGCACATCTACAGGCACCAATAGACATGAAAAGCAGCATGGACGCTGCTACCAAAATGAGAAGGTTGTCATGACATAGGAGGTCCAGATTTTCAGCTGGTGTAAAGCTATGCCAATTTACACCAACTGAAAAACTAGCAGAGGTGTGGTGTTTTTGTTTTGTTTCTGGCTATGGTTTTTTGATATCTTTTCTTTTTTTTGAGTTGTGTAGGCATCAAACAATGTGAGGAAGTACCCCCAAAAGCTTAGCCACTTGCACTGTCACTAAAACAGAGAGAGAGAGAGAGAGAGAGAGAGAGAGAGATTAAATTGTGGGTTATGAAACTATAGACAGAGATCACCTGCTAATGTTTCTGTAATTAATGGTTTGTCAGCATGTTCAATATAAATTCTATTTTACACGGATTTATTACTCTGCCAGAAAAACAAAATGAAACATGAAGCAAAAGTTCAAGCCCAAATTCATTTGTTTTACATATAATAAATCAGCAACCCCTGCATCTGGGGATGCCAGGCTCATGCACACATTTGGGACATTACCATATTGATTGCTTTTTGTCATGCTTCTTGCCAAACAAAAATGCATGGGTCATTCATTAGGTCATGTTAAGTGTTTCTGTTGTTCCCTTGTCTTGTGGTTTTTTTGTTTGTTTGTTTGTTTTTATTAACCAAAACGTCCTGATTTGGTGGTTGAAAATTGGCTGTTTTGAATGCATAGTAGTATGTTGTTTTCAGAGTGTTTTTAAACGTGCCTATCCATATTCATGTCACAACAGCCCCAGAATTGATGCAACAGATTTAATGTGGCAGATTTACATTTCTGGGCTTTCTGATCTAGCGCTTCATATGCTAAGTTGATAAATATTTATCTATGCAATAGACTGACATTATAGATTATTGGGTAAAGGTAAGGTGTTTTAATAGATCAGTGATGTGCTTTTATGATGAAGGGGGATTCCCTCCGCGCTTGCAGGCAAGGCTGTGAGGCCCAAACCTGATGGATCCCCTGAGTATCACAGGATATAGGACATATAGGACAGAGGGAGTGTCTGTATGCATCCCCACTCTTCTCTCAGCTAAGCTGCTCCCCCTCTCTATCCAGATTCTGTACATAACCATAACTTCACGTGCTCCAGACTCTGGGAATAAGCCTTCCCTTGGATTCAGAGGATTGGGAGATTGTCACCGGGACAGCTGAATTCTGCCCATTCTGCATAGAAGAAGGGCCACCTCTACATTGCACCTGGGGACAAAGGCTATAGACTTTTTGCACCCCCTTTGCTGATGAGAATTAGAGCCATGGCCTGCAGCAAATTTGCTGTAAATAAGCATCAGTTTTCACCCACAAGCTAAGGGTTTTTTTTATATTTTGCCGTAAAAATAAGAACATATAAATACTACGTCTGACATGTCAGTAATTCTGTAACAGTTTCATGTCTATAAAAGCAAAGAATTTAAAAGCATAGGCTGAAACTTTGACCCATTGACCCTCATAGAAGTTTCATAATGTCATATAGCTAATATATATTTATTTTCTGGTCCCCATCCTACGTTCCTTATGCACCCAATGAAGTCAGTGGGAATTTGGGTGGGCTAAGGAGAGAATTTAATTTTTTTACTCTGAATTTCCATGCTTTCTGTGGATTTAATTAAGGCTTGTATGTCAAACTGAATGCAATTGTTTTTAAAACACCTTGACCTCGAGATCAGATAACACACTATTGAGCCTTTTGCTTTTATTTATCTTGAGTCCAAATTTATTTCATCTTATTAGCTCAGAGTGCCTACTAAGAGGATTTCCAGGGGACACTTAATTCAATGAGGTGACTAGGCTTTTCTTCCGACCTTATTTAGAAACTAGTCAGATAGAGAAGCTGAACTCTAGCAGATGGGTGTTAGGCTCATGTTATCCCAAGCTTCTTACACAGTTATCCTTGTCTCTGATTCCAGCTGTTCCAAAATTGCCAACTGTGTTGAAAGATAAGGGAAAAAAAATAGATACTTTGAATACAGGATCTGGGAAAGGAATCTTATAAGCAGTGCTCCTTGCTTACATTTTCTAAACAGAGTCCTGTTTGAGACCACCAAGAGGAGAGAGGTTGTCTTGGTTGTCATATGGCTGTAGCTGACAATTGATAAAAGAATACAGAATTTTAAAACTCACTTTAATATTAAATGCTGATCTCCAACCTGCTCAGATCCTTAGCTAGGATGTTTGATACCAAAAGAAGGCATGCAATTTTTACATCTGCCTTTTTAGGGGCAGGTAAGGCCATGAATGAATTAATTATACATGTCTGTCTTAGATATTTTTATGACCTTCATCACAGTAGTACCTGAATTTATGCATAAAGATTAATTGAATTATTTTTTAATATTCACAATATTTCTGTAAGTACATTACCCCTGTATTACAGATGTGGAACTTCAGCCTTAATTTCTTTAAGACCTCACTTCATCTGTAAAATTGAGATAATATGGAGTTTCTTATTGGAACAATTTTTTTTCCAACCCTCTATCAACAAAGCTAGGTTTCTCCTGCTCCTATCACCCCCTTGTTCAGGTAGGGATAGGAAAAAAACATAAGCTGATCTGTTGCAAGAAACCATAACATTGTTTTAAAACAGTTTTAAATAATGTGTTGATTCAAAGGTATACAAGTTATTAGAGCCCAAAAGAGGAAATTAGTGACTGTAGTGTGTATTTATATATGTGTGTATCCTCACAAGAGATTTTCTTCAACTTGTAACTATTTAGGGAGCTTTTCTGCTGCCAAATATATTGTGTTAGTAAAACAGTAACATGCTGTAAAAATGACCTCTGCTTAAGCTGGTTTGTTGATGTATTTATATTCCTCTAGCTTTCATCTTTGTTTATGCAGATGAAATTTAGATTAGGTTCCAACATAGCTAAAATGTTACAAAAGATTTTAGGGGTGTAGGTTGTAGGTATGTTGGTCTAAGGACATAGGCAGACGAGGTTCTTTGGGTAAATTTGATATCTTTTATTAGACCAACTCAGATATTTAGAAAAAATTCTGCTTCACAAGCTTTCTGTGCACAGACCAACTGCAGATGTTTCCTCAACCTGACAAAGGGTGTTTGTTCCCAAAAGCCTGCATAAAAGATTTTTTCCAACTATTTGAGTAATAAAAGATACTGGATTTAGCCAAAGAACCTTGTCTACAAAAGATTTTATTAATTTGTCTGATTATGTTTTTTTTTAATCAGATTTTTGATTCAACTGGAGGGCATGGATTTGCTGGCACTCAGAATGCAGGCAATTCTACAGAGGTAAGATAAGTGAAACTTTCTACTGAACTATCAGACTTGGTTTTAAATTTCCAGATTCAACTGAGACTCAAAAACACATCTAATATTAGATGATGTAGTCATGATTTGGTTTAAAAATTCATAATGAAAAAACTCCAATCAGAAATTTTAAATGTGCAAGACGACCTTTTTTCTTAACTAAAACTCCCTATGCGATCCTGATCTCTACTGGTATATACCTATCTATAGGTTTGTGTGAAAGAGAATCAATAAGGACTTTATCTGGGAGCATCTTTTTTTGTAATGTAGCAAAACCTGGGCTGTTATTGGATTTTTATTTCCATTTGTTTCAGATAAGTGAGAGCCAAACTTTATTGGCTGTTTGATGATAGTTGTAAGATACGTTAAGAATTTCTAAAATATAGTACTGAATGTTGATAGATAGCATCAAGATGAGTTATAGCACTTTCCATCTTTTTTTCTCCTGAGGCTGGTGCAGATATTATTTTCTATTTTAAAGATTGGATTGCTTCTGCATAGTTGTCCAGGCCTAGTAGGGTAGAATCAAATGTAAAGATCTGTGTAAGTGCCACTTAGTGACACTTGCCCATGTGAAAGGAAGAGTAAAATTTCACCAGGACTTAAATATATAGCAAGGGAAATGTCAGACCTGCTGAAGAATGCCTTGTATTCAAAAGCTTGTCTAACTTTATCCCAACCATGCAGCTTCTTCAATAAAAGATCACATCCACAAAAAAAGATCTTTCTGTCTGTAGCAGGAAAAATAGGGTTTTCTTTAGTTGTGATCCTGTTCCACTCTGTTCAAATACCTGAAAAAATGTTATTGTAAAAGATGTGATGGACCTTCCTTCTCATCATCACATTTTGCTACTTTAATTTAAAGGTTAAGTTGAAGGTACATTACAAAAATAAGCACATGTAGTTGTTTTTCAAGGACTTGAGTAGGGTGGAATAGGATTGCACTAAGATAAGTAAGTGTCTGTTTAGGGTAAAGTTACACATTACACCTAGACCACACTAAGGGCACTTAAAACACAAATGTCTGCAGGTTAAAGCTCATTAACTCATATGAAGTGCCCTCTGAGCATCTGAGTTACTCCACTTCATGTGGAGGGTGAACTCTGGGCTGTGCTACTTAGATCATGTTAGGGAAACTTCAGCCTGCTCTATGGAGATAAATGATCAATTTGCAATCCTCCAGCATCTGATTGTGTGCTGTTCCCAGCCTTCCCCCCTCCCCTGAGCAAGTAGAGAGCCCAGGTGTCCTGGGTCCTTGCCACACCCCTGCTCATCAGCCCTTTACTAGCAAGTCAGAGCTGTGCAGGCAAAAAATGGTTAGGGTTGCTCACAGCAGATTCTAACTTTAACACCACTTAACATTCCTCAGATTTAGTATGGTCTAAGTATAATGTGTCACTTCACCTGTATTAGACACCTAATAGGTAGAATGGGTCCTTTATCTGATAAAGAAACTTTTAGCTAGTGTTAATGTGCGTAAAACCATAGGTGTAAAATGACTTATCTTTTCAAGCCCAAACTTGTTTGTTAGATGGCCAAATGAATATCAAATGTCATTCTTCCTAAATGACTGGATTAAAAGAGAAACTTGGTTAGGATAACTTCTCATAGGAAATATAGGTTAATGTGATGACTAGAACTTTACACAAATTGTCACCTGTTAACTGTGGGTAGGTTTCCACATTAAAATGAAATCCCAGTGGGATTGAAGGAAGAAACCTCCTATTGTTAGCATGCAGAATGCCTGGAATGAATCATTTTTTGCCTGGATTTGTAGTGTGTAAGGAGAGGACCTCTCCATTCAAACGTGCTTTTGTGTGAGCAAGGCTTAGGACAAAGTCAACTGTCATAACTAGGAAAATTTGTTGACAGCAGCCACCATTCCTCATACAGTCTTTCCAAGGGACTCTGAGAGATGTGCTGCTACTTGGCCCCAGAATTCCATGGCTCCAGTTTGTTTAGAGCTTACTTTTATTCCCTTAATTTTAATACTTTTCCCTTTTTCTTCTTCTGTTCATTCCCTGTACCAGATCACCCCCTAATCTGGTTTAAAGTTTTAATCAGCTAAAAAGAAATTATGCCACAAAACTATTCTCCGTAGATTAAATTTGTGTACCTAGTATTAGAAGAAGTAAAAATCTGCATTTAAAATATAACATTGCACTTAGAAATGATTAACTATAATGAAAAGTTGTAATGTATCTCTCCAGGCTAGATAACATTTGAGGCTTCATGAAAAAGGCTTATTAGCTATCATTTTATGCTGTGCTTTCATGTCTTATGACCTATATGGTTTACTCATGATGGGAAAGTGTTCATTTAGTGGCCAGTTAATAAAGAAATAGAAATATGTATCTCCATAAAATTATGCAAAAGTTATACAACAGTGGCAGACTTTTCCCAGTATCAGTGCCTAACCCATTAGTGCTATTTTGTCTACAGCAAATTCTCTGACTTGTGTGTTCTTTGAAAAATTATGAAAATAACTGCATTCTTTCAGCTGTTATAAATGTTGCCTGTTACTTCCCATCCCATTATCTTAGCCATATACTTTTGAGGAGGGGGAATATTTAAAATCACCCCTGTCATCAGAACAAAATATTTAATTACATAGAATTTTTTAACCAAATCGTCCCCTACAAAGAAGCCAGAGAATTTCCTTCAAATTATGATCTTGGGTGTGGTGTGAGTTTCACCTCCTTTCCCACATCCTGCGTAAGGGACAGAAAGTGACAGAAACTGATTGCAACACATAGATTTGTTAGAAAAAATAACACAAGGTTCTGGCCCCTCAACCCAGAGAGAAATTTCCTGAAATCCCTTTTGATGCTGTATTGCTTTAGGTTTGCATGGCAGCATGAAACTATAATGCTGCTGAAGCTGCTGACTTCAGTTCCCAATCATCAAGACTGAAGTTTGGTGGGGGGGGGAGGGAAGGTTGCACCAGTGTAGAGGGCTACCCTGAGTAAACGACTATTGATTCACACCCCAAGCAATTATGCGCAGAAAAATTTAAAATTATGCAAAATAATTGCATATATATTTTTTATGAATTAACCTAAGTATGACACTTTGAACCTTCTTTAGAAATATATGCAGGTACTTGTGTGTAGGGAGGTGTGGGTGTGGGGGGGGTGTAGGGGGGCGTTATGAAGGTGTGCGGCTGTATGGGCTTTGTGGGTGTTGTGAAGGAGTGTGGGGTTATGTGTAGGGCTTGTAGGTGAGTGTGGGTATGGGGGGAGTGTGAGGTTTGTGGGGGAGAGTGTGGGGCTTTTGGGTGGATGCAGGCTCCCCTGCCACATGCCACTCCCTCCCCCCCATACACAGCCCTGCCTCTACATGCCCCCCCTCCAGCACAGCTCCTGCTACTGGCAGGCCCTTGGGGCACTCCTGGCCACAGCAGGCAGAGCCTCTGGTGGTGTGCTGCTCTGGTGCATCCTGGGAGCTGCATGTGTTGGCACAGAGCCAGCCCAGTTCAGCCTGCTGGCAGGCACCTTCAGGCCAGACCATGCTGGCTCCATGCCAGCACATGGGGCTTGTAGCACTGCAGGCAGGAACCACATGTAGCTGCAGGCACTCGGCTCCAGCTGTGCACCACCAAGGCTCTGCCTGCCCTGGCCAGGAACGTCCCAGTGGCCTGCCATTGGCTGCTGCCACAAGCTGCAGAGCCTGTGCACCATGAGATGAGGGCATGTGGCAGGGGGACCAGTACCCACCCCACTCTTTTTTGCAGGCAGGTGCTCCCCTTTCCACTTACCAGCTACACCCTGTGGAATTATGCAATATTATGCGATTATGTGCAGTCATACATTTTACACGCAAAATGACACAGGTGCATAATTTCCTGGGGTGTAACTGATTCACATCGACAGTATCTCATGCAGATGAGCAACCTTTGGCTGGAAGGAGAACGTTGGATGTCCTCGAGCTGTACAACAGCTGTCCTGCTCCCCCACAGACACAGAACCTGAACCATGCTGAGCACCTATGAAGGGTTTTTGGAGATGTTACAGAAACAGGAAAATCTATGGCCCTTCTCTGCCATTTCATACCTCATTTGCTGGGTCTGGGTCCTTTACTGCTGCAGAGGGAGACAAATAATCCAAGTCCTTTGGCTAAATTGTTAGATGGGCAGGGGAAGGGAGATTGTTTTGTTTTAAGAAGGTTAACTACAGCTTCTGCTTTTTTTTAACAAGATCCCAGCATTCTGATGAATCATGCGATGGTTCAGAACTGATTCATTGTAACTCCCCAAACCGTTAAGATTGGAATCAGCCCAGTTTCATTAGCCAGTTAAAAAACAAAATACAAAACCCAAAATGGAATCATACTCTTTATAAGATGCTATCAAATAAAATTAATACCAGTAGTACAGTACATTTTTCTAACATGTTGCTTGCAAAGGTTATGTCAACAAACAGACAAAGGCCAGGGAAATGATGAAGTAACCACCTGGTTCTCAAGCAACACATGGCACAATGTGTGACAGTGCACATGTCCTGGCGTGTGTTGCTGGAAATTTGGATGGCTTGTTATAACTTAATGTGGCAACGAATGAATGAACTATTGTAGTATTAGTCATTGCAGTCATAACAGAAAAAATCACTCAGTGTCAGAATTTCTGAGGTGGAAAATGTGGATGAAGCAATGGCATCTTGACCGCAGCTAAGGAATATATTATAATTTAATACGAAAGACTTAACAAAAACTGAGCAATGCCTATGTTTGGTCATCAGTGTTCACAGCAAACATGATTTTGAATCCATAACTTGTTACATTGATTTTAAAAAAACCTTCCAAGTTATGCAATTAAAGGGGTAAAGAGGGTGATACCTATAAAGTCTGTTTTCCTCCATTTTACTCTCTTACTGTTTTGTATCATAGCAGTCAATGCATGCAGAATATTTATAATGAACAAATTAAAGGGCTGCTGTTGATTTCTTGTTAATAGTCCACTTGGAATTGCTAGAGGCATCTCCTTAGTTAACATACCGTGTTACTTCTATTTTCACTCCAGGAAGTACATTGAAAATTATTGGTTTGACATGTTATATCAGTACTGTTAATTTTTACAGTTCATCTTTCTTGCTTAACTTCTGTTCTGTTATTTGCGCATTGAAAGGAACTTATAGCTGAGTCCTAGCTTCTTGATTCCTGGTGCTTTCTGATATACGCACTGTTTTATAGGAGTTGTCCTATAATATTGCAACTGTTCCATAGTAGAGGTGTACAACCCCCAGCTTGTAAGGTCACATTTGGCCTATGGAGCCATGTCCTCTGAACTGAGGGGCTCCCTAAGGGTCCAGAAATCTGGCAGTGGAGGTGCAATAGCAATTAACGCTGACACTTCTCCCCCTGCTGCCAAATTTCCAAGCTCCACATAGCTGGATCAGTCCTACATAGAGGGATCTGGCCCATTCCTGTGCAGCTGAATCAAGCACAGGATTAAGCCCACAAACTGGTTCCAGTGTATGGACCAACCTGGCAATGGTCATTTAACCATTTACTTCAATAATATGACTCATTTTGTTTAAAACGTGCTGTTACTGTAGGATGACCATAATGGAGAGATGACAATTTATGCCAACCCATGAGTCTACTCCATAACATCGTATTCTATATAGTAGATAACTATTAAGAATGTTTGATTTTTTTCAAATGACATCAACTCAGTACTGTACCATGCTCAAAAATCGTATGTTAAAAACACTGTTCCTTATAACATTATTATTGCGGTTCCAAATGTCTAATTTGGCTCCCCCCCTCCCCCAGCATTCATGGATAATGTGGTAATTACAGTAGTTTGGCTGTCTGAGATATCATTTTCACTGTCACGTTTATCATTCAGAAAAACAAAATTATAACAGTTATGCTGTTCCTCTTAGTCAAGTGTCCTCAGTATGTTTGGTGCTATGCCAGCAGAGAAGGAAATACAATCTTTGACCAAAACAGATTCAGTATAAGCCTTCTTTTCTAGTGCTCAGTATAGTCCTGTCCTGGGGTTGCATTGCCCCATGGGTGCACCAGGCAGAATTAAATCTGTGAGGGTTTCCAAGCATGCAGAGTAAGTGTACTTCTACACCTTTCCTGCAGATATGGACAACTTTTCTAGCTGATGAGAAAGAAGTATGGCTACTTTTAGCCCTCTTGCTTTGAGGTTGCCATGGAAAAATTGTGCATTTACGTATTCTAGGTTTAACCTGTTTTTAGCTGGGTCTCTTTCCTTATACCCTTACTTATGCTCTCTTATGGACATTTACATGGCCCAGCCACAGTGTGGCCAGGAATTCAAATGTCTAATAACTGGAAAAGTGCCAGTGCAGCTATATGTGTTTTCTTTTCTGCCTCGTTAGTTCATTTTGAACTTTCAAGCAAAAAATGCAAGCCAGAAGAAGGTGCATCAAGACAGGAAAGAGAATAATAGAGAAACAATATTTAAAAGAATACCTTGCCCCAATCCCTTGTATATGTTTACGCAGAGTGGTTTTGTCATGCTTTATTGTCCACGACAAAATGGATACAATTCATCAGATGCATTTCATGTTTGATGTTGGACCAAACTTGAATTAGAAACTAGGTAATGACAGATTAAATACTCTACACTAGTTACCAAACAATACAATACTGTAGAGTAGGTAGAGTTAGGAGTATTTTATTTCCATTTCATTACCTTCTTACATTGTTTCAGTGGCGTTCTTTGCTCCACAGTGCTCTCTGCTGGGAGATTTACCATCTTATCCTTTCTTATTAGCAGTATAGTAGTCCATTAATATCTTTTTTTGTATGAATTGTTTGATTAACCACTTACTTAACTGTTTGATTCTGTTTAGGTCTTATTTCTATTTGATTGCATATAGATGTGTATGTCTCTCTACACTGAATTAAATTACTATAGATGCAGGAGATTGGATTACATGACTTCAGCTGTATCACACTTTCTCAAGAGAAAGCCTGGACTCAAGTCCTTGATAGCATAGAACAGGGACGTCAAACTCATCTGGCCCACAGTTCCGCTGGGCCGGATTTCGCCCATGGCTCCCCTTCCTCCCCCAGCATACCTGATCCATAGCTTCTCCAGGACTGCTCTAGGTCTGGGACCCACACTACGTAGGGCATGGAATGGCAGCCACACTGCCCATGGTGGCCAACCTAGCAGCTCTGGGACTGCTGCATACAGCACCTGTTCCAGCTAGTCCAGGACCTGTGCTGCACACAGCGACTGGGAGTGACAAATGCAGGACAGGTCCCAGACCAGCAGGAGTGGGCACTTTGTGTGGTACACATGCACATGGTGTTGAATAGGCCACCTGGGGCAGCCACTGTTTGAGGCGTGGCTGTCACTTGCTGGACAGTACCACATGGCACTGATTTGAGCTGCTCTGGGATCCATGCCATATGCAGCGTGGCTCCTAGACCACCTGGAACAGCTGCTGGATCTAGGATGCTAGGGGAGGGGAAGGGATAAGAGGATGGGGTCCATGGGCCTGATCCAGCCCACAAATTGGCTCCATGCCATGGGCACATGCCATATCTGATCAGACCCAGGGGCAGCACCAGGGGCTGGATGGCAGGGCACTGCAGGGAGGATCCAGCCTGTGGGCCATACATTTGACATTCCTGGTACAGAAGAACTGGTGTAGAAATTTTGTTCTTGTATGAACAAGAGTGACGTTGTCACAATACTGTTTCTAAATATAGGTACCATACACCCTGGTAGCAGACCTACAGTATACTGTATTATTGAGATTGCTATATCTTTACATTCTGTAAATTTCCCCCTTTATTTTCAGCAGCAAGTCAATGAACTTCTGAATGTTTACTGCTCAGCACCAGAGAATGGCCAGAAGGAAAGCACTTGGGAAATCCAGACGTATGTTCACTTCTCAGATAGCCAAGGAGTCACATTAACTCTCAAGCCAGAACACAGGGTGGAAGATGTTTTGTCTATGGCCTGCAAGGTATGGAGCTTTCACACCTGAAAGCATCTGGCTAATAATAGTAGGCTTTAAAAGGGATACAGTATACATATGGTATATCCGTTATTTTAATGTTGTAATCAAGCATCTAAGCCAGTATCTGAGTCCCAGTGTCTGTATATACACCTCAGCTTTTCCTATAGCCCTACTATGTGCACAGTAGAACTGAGGCAGGAATGCTTGGGGGAGCCTTTTAAGCCCTGATGCCCAAGCTAGTTTGTAGCCATAGTCTGTTGAAGGAGCAGTGATAATCTCTAACCATGAGAGCTCTTGATTTGTGTCCCATCCCCTTCACGTCAGGGTCATTACAACCAAGAGAATCCCTGATCCATACAGAGAAGCTATAGAGGGAGGATGGTGATTAGTCAAGTTATTTCAGTGTCGTAATGGCCCCACTATGAGCTAAGGTAAACTGTTTGCCTGGAGTTGTATTCTGTAATGTGTGTAAACATAAAAAAAATGATACCATGCATCCTAATAACCTTACTTAATTAAAACCCAAATTTTCTCAAATAGAAATACTTAAGATTTAATTTCATTATAACTCATAGAAAGGTGAGAAATCCATTAAAATTATTCTGTTAAGATTGTAACAAAGAAAAGACTGAAACGTGTGAATTTCTTAAAGGGTCACATTTTTAAACTAGGTCACAGAATGACTTGGATCATACAAAATTCAATAGCTACACAGAAAGTCAATGTTGTGAATGAGGGGAGAAGATATGCTGTAATTTTCATGGTGAAAAAACTGAATCATTGTTTTTGGGCAAAATGAAACATAGAGTCATGAGCAGCACCTCCTGAACACTAAAAATAGCTTAGGAGTTTCTGATGCCAACAGACTGAATGTGAATAAATTTATGAATCAACCTATTTTCAAAATTTATAGTCGAGAATAAAAAAAATTGGGAAACATTAAACATCAGTTTAAGTCATGTTATTTGGCAAATGCCACGTCATGTTTACCTTACCCCCAACCCCTGCCCAACAGAAATCAAACAAACAAACAATCTCTATCACTCAAGCAACCGTCTTTTGGCATAGACTAGTGTGAAATTCTAAGGGCGCTGATTTACTTGGTTAAAATTTAAGAATTTCAGAACTTCTGATAAGAGGAATGGTTACAACTTAACTGCTTTCTGTATGTGGTAACATCTTAGGAAAGAAATAATGATAACAGTATTTTTTTTTTTTTAATGGCATTATCTCTTTTTTCTAAGTCAGGGCAAGGGCAATGCTTTAGCTAAGTAACAATGCATCGAATATAACTTTAATAAAAAAAATCTTTTTCACATTAATCCTCGTTCCTACTGGATCATGGAGAAGTAATTTAATTTAGTGTCTGGTTTGCAGCTATACCACTTGCAAAAAAGAAATAAACGAAGAAAGTCATATAAGATTTTGGTTGACCACCAGGTGGTATGATAGAGCTGAAACTTTTGGAAATGAATAGCTACTGTAAAAGAAAGAAGTTCTGCTAATAATAGGATACAGGTCTTAAATGAAATGATGAGTTCAATTACTTGCCGCCCTGAGTATGTTCTTTTAAAATATCTGTCAGCTGTAAGCATCCCCCACCCTTTCCCCTCATACTTTTTTGTTAGGTCTGTCACCTGAAATATTTGCTAGTAAGGTGCCAATTGTGGGGGAGGTTTTCCTTCAATTTGAAACATTTTTCCCCCTCTTCTATGTGTACAGCTTTTCATATACATTATCTAATGATGACTCCTTTCTCTTGCATCTTTCCTAGTTCTTTTCTGTCTTACATTTCCATTCTGCTTTTGGAAAAATAAATCTTGGATTGGCAACCCTGTTTGACTGCAGCAGTAGTTTTACACCATGTTGTCTCCACCCCAGGGTTCCTCTACTCATCCCCATACCCTGATGCCCTGTTCCCTTTGTCCTGGCATGGACCCCTACCTACCTCCTCTTTCCCCCTACCCGGCCTGCAGCTGTATCCTGACTGCACTACCTCCCTCCTTATAGCTACAAGGTGAGTTGCTGTTAGAGAAGGGGTGGCCAGAGGGATGTAGCTGCAGTATACAGTTGGGGATAGGGCTATGCTCATGTGAGCCACAAAGCCCTGATGAGAACTCAGGCTGCTGCACTCCTGCTCAGACACCAGGTGGTGCTGTTCTGCTCTGTCTGTGCATTCAAGCTCTATGTTTCTTAGTTTTTATGGATGGCTCCGCTTTTTTTAATGGACTTTATGGACAAGAATTTTTTGCCCTATTTTTTTTATGGACTGTCTGTAAATTTATGGGCAATTGGCAACCCTGGTATGTAAGAATAAAGTCAGATATTTTATTTTTTCATCCATATTTTAAGGGTTTTATGCTTTTCTTATTTATAATCTGCATGCATTCTGAGATTTAGAAGGCATGTACACAAAGAGATTATGTACCTTAATAAAATAATTTAGAGCACAATCCATATATTACCAATAAATTCAATTACACATAATGGAATATTTAAATATTTCTTCTCAGTAGATTTAGGTTTCACAGCCTTCAAAGGTCTATTAGACCAAGGTGAAATAACTTTAATGGGTACACAGCCTTCTCCTATTTTGAATTGTTGCTCTATTAATATTTTAAAATGAAAGATTTGTTGAAGTGGGCACAGCAGGATACTGAATCTGAGAGACAGACTCCCTAGGGGCTCCTGTCTCTTAGGTCACCATCTTTAGAGAATATTTCCATTTCCCTCTGACTTTCCTCTCAGATATTAGGCTTTCATTTTGACCGCATATGGTGAAAAGTGGGTGTTGCTCCCTCATTGCAGATGAAACTTGGCTTTAAAAAATACAATAAAAGCTACCCCCTAGGGAACCCTTCCTCTTCTAATAGCCTGTCTATGTATATGCATTTTCTGTATCAAAAGTTCAAGGTGCTGAGCAGAACAGTGTCATATAGAAGAGCTGCATAAAAAGATGGATGGATGTCCGTGTGATTTTCATAAGGGCGGAACTGGGTCATAAATTGGTCTGAAAACTCATAATATTTTTTGGATAGTCTAATAGCCAAGGCATCATGTTTATACAAGGTTTTTATTAGTACCCTTACAAGAAAATGAAGATCATGTTAACATGAACTAGAATCTTACCATCTAGGCAATGCAACTAGTTTTGTCTATACCCCAAATCAGGTATGACTTCAAGATTGTCTTTTTAATAACATCTAAAGACTTAGTATGTGCGTGGCTTCTTTATCTTTTGGGAGTCCATAACTATATCATAAATTCCAAAAGCATATTTTTTCATCCTGTAGATGAAGCACCTGGAGCCAAGTTGTTATGGTCTACAACTTAGAAGACTGATAGATGAAAATATTGAATACTGTGTTCCTGAAGCTTATGAGTACATGCAAGACCAGGCAAGTTGGATCCAATGTAGATTAAGAAATTCTTACTATTTGTAGCTACATTTAAATTATACCCTAAATATACATGTGGTTTACATTAAAGATGAGGATTTTTTTGGATTAGATCAGTTACCTGGACTGTATTCTGCCACACCTATTCATAGTAAACTACAGTTGCCCCCTGCAGAGATAATTTGATTGCCTCACACGATCTAAGTCTATCTGAAGCACTGTTTTGTAGACTTTTAACAGGACTTGCACTGCATGGGTCTGGTACTAGCTTTTTTGCACAAGGGTTTGGATTTAACTAAGTATCATATTTTTTTCCACACAACATGCCCCTGAATAAGATGCATATCTTGTTTTTGAAAGGCACAATGAAGAAATAAGAAGGTCTCTCCTTGCAAATACCAATAAGTATGATACGTTCCCCAGGAAGATACTGGCAGCTACAGTGGGGTGCGGTGGGGAGGGGAGGGTCCAAAAATTGTAGGTGCTCTGTTAACCCCCTAGTTACAAGGATGTCATAGGTGTGGTGGCTGAACTGAGTCAGCAACACCTGCCAAGTCAGCTGAGGGGCTGATCTCTAGTCAGAAGCAGCATCTGTGGAGTCAGCTGAGGGCCCACCTTGCTGATTCAGTAGAAGCCTCTGTTTTTTTTTTCCAATTAAAAAGGTACATATTATAGGTGATAAAATGCAGAAATACTTTACTGCATAGGAAGCACAGTAATACTTTACTATATAGTTAGTCCCACTGTTTCAGTGATATTGCTAGAAAAATACAATTCTTTACTATGAGTAAAGGTGAAAAAAATTGCCTTTGAGTGGATTATTTCATAAAACAGCTATAAGTTTTTCTATAAAATAATCATTGACGTTTTGAGGCTTTTGCAGTCCTACAGGGTCATACTGTAACAATATGTTTTCTCTCTAACAGATATACGATGAAATAGAACTATTTCCATTAAGTGTTTATCATGTGAATCTTACAAAGATTGAGAATATAAATGATTTTGGTAAGTCTAATTTAAAATCTTTTCCATTTTTTTTCTCTTTTATTTTCCTATTTTTTCAGTGTTTATTTTTTTTCAGGAGTTTTCTCTTTCTTAATATCTTTTGTGCTACAATAGATGGCTCAACATGTTGAGTCTGGAAAATGCACAAATCAGCACTGTAAGGAAGGTTGAAGACTTACTCTTTATTTTACGTGGACCATTATTTTTTTATTCCTCCTGGAAGAACAGGTGAAAGACTTCTACTTGTTACTACACAGATCAGCCAATTAGGCATTTTAAATAGTTAGAGAACAACTTACTCTTTCTAAACTAAATAAAATCAGCCAGCCCCCTCTTAAAGACCAAGTTCTGTTTTGTCACTAAAATCTTTGTTGAATCCATGCCAGTCAACTGTCACTTGATAGATATTTTAACTGGCCTGTTAGCACCTAAGAGTATCCATGTGTTTGTTCATTGTGAAAAGAAAAAAAAAAGTGAGCAAAGCCCTAAAGAAAAAAAGATGGCAAGATAATGATGCTATAGGAGAGAAAAAAGGAAATTGCATTCACTTGCAGCAAAGTCAGTGAGAGTCTTTTCATTGATTTAAAAGAGAGTTGGATTTCACCCCTTGGTTTGTAGTCTCCTTCAGGTCAGGTGCTGTTTCTCTTTCTACCTTTCTGTCTTCCTCTGTCTTCCCTAAATAAACAGTAGTTCAAATCTTGCAGTCCTTGCTCAAAGTGATACTCCCAACCACTTAGTAATTTTGCCTCAGCAAGGATTACATAATTTAGCCCAAGGAGGGGTTTAAAGATAAAGACAAAAGATGAGCGGGTTTATCTACACGTGCTTAACAGTAGACTAATTTGCTTCAATGTAACGGATTGCAGTCTACGCATGCGATGCCATTAGACTTCAGCAAACTAATTTTTGCTGCCATAAAATAGTTCTGTTGGGGACAGTACCACCTTATGGTGGTGAAAATAACTGCGCCTAAATGCATGTGTAAATGCTGACCTGATTATACGTTGTGCCCCAGCCAGCCCATCTGCCACCTGACGCCTGGATCTGGACCCCCAAGCTGACTCTCTGGGCCCCCTGCCAGCCTGGGGCAGCTCTACCCGGGCTCAAACTGCAGCAGTCCTGGGCACAGTGTTGTCTACATATGCGCCCTGAACCTTTAGCAGTTTGAACATCTGTGTGTGTCATTAAGGTACCATGATAAACTCTTGTTCATGCTACACCGGGCTTTGACATGTCACCTTAATGGCACTTGTAGATGCACCCAGTATGTACTAAGAGGAGAGCAAATAGTACAGGGAAAAAAAGGAAAGGAAAGGAAAAAGAAGAACTAGGAGAATGAAGTATGAACTATAGCATGGGTTCATATGAGTGAACCTGCAGCATTTTTAGTTGCCCATTTGTCAAGCATGGCTTTGACCTTCTTGAACATGTTCACTTGGTTTCTAAAGAGGTTTGCTAGTTATCTTGAATTCAGCTTCCATTTTTTGTGGTTTCTGAGACCATAAACATTTTGAAAGGAATACAATAGAATTCTCCCAACTTCACCGAAAGAAAAATTACTTTCCCTTTCTGCTTACTTTTAAACCTATCTACCCTTTTAGTTTATCTTTTTCAGCAATAGGAAGGGAGCAGCTGTTGAGAATCATCACTTTAGACACGGATTTCTTGGGCTTTTTCAGTATTGATCATAATGAGATTGGCATCCATCATAATGAGGGCTTGCTCTAAATATATTGCCTATATACACATAGATTTATTAATATACAAAAATGAGACCTTCAGGCACCTTTTGCTCTCATTTTCCCACAACAATGGTACAAAAACCTTACAACTTTCATCTCGGTATTTTGTAGTTCTAGTTATCTGTATTACAGAAATGGGGTTGACATTTCCCCACCTAAAATAATCTAATTAAACCTTTATAGTGCATAGTGGTGGTTTTTCCATAGTAAAAAGTTTTGTCATCTCATTCTTAGTAAATAGTGAAACTAGTTAATTTAAGAACACTTCTTTCAAGAATTTGTCTTAGCACATGTATGTATTTATTGGCAGTGAGAAGTGTCAACTCTGATTATGTAGATTCAATCTACTGAACATGCAAAACTAAATGAGAAATGCATGATATTAACATAATTCTCTTGGTCCTTGTTTTGAAAAGACTAACAGTTTTGAAGGTAAAGCTCTTTTTTGTTTGTTTTCACTTCAGGTTTTGCAGTCACAGCTCAAGTTGACGAAAACCAACATCTGACTCGTATATTCATAAGCAATGTCCTCCCAGATGGACTGGCTTACAGGGAAGGTTTGTATCATACATGTATTAAACAAACTTCCATTAAATAACAGAACTGTAAGAGACCTTAACTATTGTTTGTAAATGGCTCTGTTTCTACTGTCTTTTGTTTCCTTTTTTGAATACCCTGGAGGTATAAGATGTTATAAAAGATATTTTATATGAAGTGGCTAAGGGAGAGATGAACTAGAGATGAAGTGAGGAGATTTCTTGTTTGCACCTGAGGGAAATTTTTCTCCCAGCATTCACAACAGGTAACTTGGCAAAACCTAGGAATTGGCATAGGAGTAGAATGCAGAAATTCTCCACACTGGGGTGTAGGCAGCTATAAAATTTCCTATAACAAATGATACCAGTATAAGCTGTTATGATGCCACTGTTGCATCTGGATGATTTTGTGGCAATTCAACTGCATCAAATCACTGCAACTTTAACCTTATTTTATTCAAGGTCAATATTAAGGTGACTAGGTTTAAATAACAGCTAGATCAGGGTGGGCAAAATGCAACCCGGGGGCTGGATGCGGCCTGCCAGGCCATTCTGTCCAGCCCATGGGACTGCTAAAAATTTTAGAAAATTAATATTTATCTTCCCTGGGCTGCCTGTCATGAGGCCCTCAATGGCTTGCCAAAACTCAGTAAGCAGCCCTCTGCCCAAAATTATTGCCTGCCCCTGAGCTAGATCATAAGAATTGTTAAAAACTCCCAAGTAACAGTTTCCCCTCCTTTGTTTAAAGTTGTTGAAAGGTGTGTTTGAACATATATCCTCATACTGTCTACAACATCATTGTTACGCTTAGCCTCCAAGGGCATTTATACACATACTTCTTCATCCTACAACCTGCCAGAGATCCACTGCTTCACTGGATTTTAATTGAGTCTGCTCTGCACCTGAGCTGATGTATACCATGCTGTGCCATGTGCAGTTGTAAAAGTGGCAAAATGTGCATCAGTGTGAAGAAAATAGCAGTGGTGCGCTTTTGAACTAAAGCACCTCCAATGTGTTTTGGTTCAAAAGCACATTGACTCCCATTTTGTTGCTTATACAACTGCAAGTGTTGCAGTGCTGGGTGCTCTTCAAAGTGTCCGGCGCTGCGGCACTTCCATGTGTTAAAAATGCCCCAAGATCCTTGGTCTCTACTTTGCAAGCAACAGTGAAGCAATAAAAAAAAAACCTGTGCCATCCATGGTGTTGCTAGAAGTGCTGGCAGCAATCTGTTCTGTGGTGTTCAAGGATGGTATTATCACTTTGTCAGACTCTCAAGATCCTTCTGCGTAGTGGAACCTCATTTGTTCTGCTGTCTGGGACCCTCCTCACCTGAAAGGAAGGCAGAAAGCAGGGCAGGGTGGTATCTTTGAAATGAATTGGTTCAGAGGGGAGAAGTGTTCATGGCAACATCTAGTTGGATGCTGTGAATGCTATGGACTAGGTGAACTGTATGAAACCTCTCTGAACACTCTCTAAGGTGCCAGCCTGCTTTGCCTTTGCCTGACTTCAAACTAACATAGCTCTATCTCTCTCTACCTGAAAGGGAGGGACAGAACTGGCACTTCAGTCAGATGGAGCACAGCGGCCCCCTGGTTACTACTGATTCTGAAATGCATCTGTTGCTGCTATCTCAATTTGCTGAAATTGCTCATGAAATCCTTACCTGTTAGACTTCCCCATTGTAGCTTTTCCCAAGAAGGATTTAATAAGCATGATTAGCTACTTGTTTTTTTCTAGACAGGGATCTCAAAATAAAAGATTTTTTGCCTACATAGTTTTCAGGATGCTCTAGTCTTATAAAATGTTGTGCAAGACTTAATGATTCTTGTCGGGAGACTCCTCAGAGTTGTCTTATTTTAGCTTTGGAATAGGGTGCAACAGCTATGTCTTAATGGCACATATTAGAAATTACAACGTACATGTAGCCCCAGTCTTACAGGCATGGCACTTACAGAAGTCCTGTTACCTCCAGTAGGAGGACTACAGGATTACATCACTTGTATTAAGAAAAAATAATCATCAAAGTACAATACGCTTTGTTTTACAGCTATATTCACTAATGCTTTTGTATTTCCTTTCTTGTCTCTCTCCCTCTTATGCTGCCAGGGCTACGCGTAGGCAATGAAATCTTGATTATAAATGGGGAAGCTGTGTCTGACCTTGACCTCAGACAGATGGAGTTACTGTTTTCTGAGAGAAGTGTAATGCTGACTCTGAGAACAAATCATTATCCCAGTAAGCAAGCATTATGTACTTCGTGGTCAGATGGTGACCTTTCCAGGGACCCCAAAAATCTATTACCCCCTCCTAATCAGTCACAGCTCCTGGAAGAATTTCTTGATAACTTCAAAAAGAATACAGCAAATGGTAAGATGACAATCATTTCTTAAACTTTTTTTCTATACCAGAATCAGCTATTTAAAATACACTTCAAAATTCTTCTTATGCATTAAAAGAGAAAAACAGGTGCAGGTCTGTAAATTCCTGTTAGATTTCATGCATTTCTGTTATTATAGTAACATATAGAAAGTAGAAATGAAGCAGAAAATGATAGTTCCTCCACAAAAGTTATATTCTTTGAACCCGTTTCACTACATTATCCCTGTAATGTTGAGCACTATAGTTGTCTTGTGGTATCAAGGTCATCTATTATAACTCTCCAAAAGTTTTGCTCTGTTAGTCTTTTTGTAAAATACCATGTCAATTTAGGGTACTATAAAACTAACAATCAGCAGCTGAAAATGGAGTTATTTTACAGCAGCTCTGTCTACCAAGATCTATTCTCTTCATGTTCTAGTGGAATACAGGTATCCATTTTATGTAAATGCATCCTTCACATTTTAAAGTGATTCTTCCTATTACCTTCTGTTCGGATTTTTGATAAGAGTATAATCTTGCAGCTGATATTTTACCATTTACATGTATGCTAAATATATTATCTCAGTATGAATTTGGGGCCATGTGCTGCATGGGTGCATGAGGTAGGTAGTCCTAAGTGAAAAGACTGCTTTCAGGAAGGAAGAAAATACATGATTCCACTTTCATTTTGCATTAGGTAGCAGAAAGCAGCATATACATCCTCAGTGCATGATGCAGCCTGTTGCATGTAGTAGGAAGCTATTAATTCACTGAGTGCTAGATCAGGTGCCTGGTGCACTGCTGAGTTTTGACAAGTATGCATGTTCACACCTTTGGGGGACCTATGCCACTTTTACCAGTTGCTCAGTGTTTCCCCAAGTCCCGTGGATAGTTTTTTTGCTTTAATAGGAGTGACTGGTGTGGTCTTCTGTGAACTGAAATAACATCAAATATCTCATCACCCAGAGAAATCTTAACAAGCAGCATAAACACTCTGAGATTGCCAGGTTTTATTTGAGAGAAATGTCAGTGTGCTGCCAGAAGATCTTTAAGATAACTGCATTAAATAAAAATTGTTTGGGTGTGCTTTTTTGTTTGTTTTCTTGTTTTAGACTTGACAGTTATGCATACAAGATAATTCTATATATTGACTGAATTCAGTGTCATGAAGGGGAAAAAAGTTGCAGTTCCATCTTTATACCTCTGGGGGATGCTAGTAAAACTCTGCAGGAAATCTAAGACCAGGTTCATTGCTGCACAGGGGAGAAGAGTTGTCTTGGGGCTTAATTATGGTGGCAAGTGTTTTCTGATCTGAATCTTTGTGTGATTTTAAAGAGAGAGAGAGAATTAAAAAATCACAAAGGAAAAGTCGTTAGAATGGATTTAATTATAAAGCAACTTTTATTAGGTCATCTTTGAAATTAAAAAATCTGAAAACTAGATTTGTGATGCAGTAAGTAGCATCTCTCTCAGGGACCTTAGTTCAATTTAAAATACCATTAAATCAACTATTGGCATATAAAACTTGGTGTCATAAAACAAAAATTATGGAGCTAATTAATTACATAATTATGTTAGGGCTATCATTCAGCTTGTTGGCTTGATATTCTAGGCCAGCATTACCTGGAGTATTCAGTCTAATAAATGTATGTGTCCATTCACCAGATTCATTTTTCCTCAGGGATAAATTTACAACCTGTGTTAATCTCCATATATGCTATTATAATAAGAAATTACAAGAGTATTGTAGCATATTCTCAGCACTAATGGATAAAAAAGTATATTTTATTTGCTTTACTGATTCAGAAAGCAGTCAGTGTAGACGTATTTACTCTGAAACGGAAAAGTGGTTCTAAATTGGGCTTTATGAAAAAGTCTATCATTTCAAATTATTGTGTACTGGCATTTGGCTTCTGCTCCCCTCATTCAGTTCTTATGGGAACAAAAGAAAACACTACTTCGATATAAGAAGTAATCTTAATGGGTTTATCTCCTCATCCTTATTTTACATAGAGAGAACAAATAGGAAGGGGACAGGCTGCATGACTATACATTTGGGTGCTAGAAATTTCGTGATTCTAATCCTGGCTGTGATGCTGCTCAGCTGGATGGTGTGAAGTGAGTCACCTAGATCACAGCTTTTCAAAAATGACTTCTGAATTTGGACACCCACTATTCTCGGTGTCTGAGTGTCTGCTC